AGCACCCCCGGGACCAGCACCTTTTCCAGCTCCAGAGACGGCAGCAGAAGGACCTCCAGTAGGAGAGCCCCTAGCCCCAGACGCGCGACCCTGACGGCGACCGTACCAGTCGTGCAGCTGCTGGGAGGTGAGAGGCACACGCGGACGAAGGCGGCCACTCCAAGGAGACCGCGCAACAGCAGACTCAGAACCCTCAGCGCCAGCACCCTCAGGGCCAGCACCCTCAGCGCCAGTACCCTCAGCGCCAGGACCTCCAGCAGCTCCAGAACCTCCAGCACCCGCACCCTCAGCAGCCCCAGAACCTCCAGCGCCTGCACCCTCAGCAGCTCCAGAACCAACAGCTCCAGCGCCACCAGCACCAGGACCTCCAGCAGCTCCAGAACCTCCAGCGCCCGCACTCTCAGACTCCTCACACTCAGGCTCAGCACCCCCAGGCTCAGCACCCCCAGGCTCCGCATCCCTAGGCTCAGCACCCCCAGAAGGAACACCCCGAGCAGGACCACCCTCAGCAGGACCTGAGTCACCAGTGACCTCAACCGGCGCAGTCAAGGGAGGAGGGTCTACCTGAGACACACCTGAAGGAGCAGGACCTGACGCGGGGAGGGGGTCTACCTGGGGAGCACCTGGAGCGAGGAAGAGCGGCGGGGGGGGGAGAGGGGCAGTGCGGTAGGGGAAGAGACGGTAAAAAGGAACCGACTCGTCGAACGTGACGTCCTGAGACGCAAAGATACGGCGCGAGGTGGGGTGGTAAAACTGCCAACCAGGCGCGTCAGGGACAAAGCCAAGAAAGACACAGGGGACAGTGCGGGCGGAGAATTTGTCCGCAGTGGTATCGCGGACAAAGGCACGAGCACCCCAGACCCGGAACCGCGACGCATCGCCAACCTTCCCCGTCCACAGCAGTGTGGGCGAGGTCTCCGGCAAGGAGACACGGGGCCAGAGGTTGAGCTGATGCACGGCGTACCGGACCGCAAACGGCCACAGAAAATGGGGGGCAGCCGCATGGATCATGGAGGTACGAGCGACCTCCATGACTAAGCCAATGCGGCGCTCAGCAACCCCATTCTGCTGCGGAGAGGCCGGAAGCGTGAACGTCTGGCGGATGCCGTGCTCCGCACAGTAGGCTGCCAAGAGGTCGGAGGAAAACTCACCACCTCTGTCAGAGTGCAGACGCAGGACAGGAAAGTCCCGCTCGAACCGCTCGCGGAGCTGGAGACGAACAGTGCGGATCCAAGGGATCAAAACATCAGGGACCTCACCCTTGGTGCGCAAGGGGAAGACCGTGGTGTAACGCGTGTAGTCGTCGACAACCAGCAGGAAGTACCGCTCGTGGCCCGGTCCACGGACGCGGGCTGGGCCCCACACGTCCAGGTGGAGCGTCTGCAACGGAGCCTCTGTGGGAGGGAACGAGGAGGAGTGAGGAGCGGCGCGCTACCGCCCCTCGACGCAAGGAATGCAGGGCGGCGCAGGCGAGGGAGGGAGGGCAGGCAGAGACCTGGGAAGACCAGAGACCAGGGAGCGAGAGTGCATGCTACGAAGACGAGGCAGGGAGGGGTGACCAAGGCGGTGGTGCCACAGGAGAGTGTCGTGCGACAAAGCGCGACACTCGCAGGGGGCCGCCAGCTGACCTGACGCAGACGCAGACGCAGCCACCTGAGGGGACGCAGTGGTCAGTGTGTACAGACTCGAGCCAGGCGCACGGGTAAACGTGGCCAGGTGCCGGCCCGTCCGAGCACACGTACAGTGAGTCACTCGCTGACTCGCAGGAGTGAACTGGTGAACCCCCCTATCATTGAGGTCAGCTCCACTCACCAAGTTCGTAGAGAACGAGGGGAGGTAAAGACCTGACAGCGAGCCAGACGGGGCGGCCGGACACGGCAGAACCGTGGAGTAGTGGGCAAGGACTGGACCCCCAGAGGGGTCCGCCAGGGAGACTGGAACTGGCCGACTAAGCGGCGTGAGTGTGGTGCAGTCGCGAAAGAAGGAGCGGGAAGCTCCTGAGTCAAGGGTGAAGGTGTGCAAGACCGCAGCAGGCGCAGTACCAGAGAGAGCAGACTCACCAGCACCTGGAGCAGCAGCCTCACCAGCACCTAGAGCAGGAGACACACTAGCACCTAGAGCAGCAGCCTCACCAGCACTGAGAGCAGGAGACGCAAGAGCACCGAGAGCAGCAGGCGCTATACCAGGGTCAGGCGGTACGCACAGGTAACAGGCACGGTCAACACTAGTAGGCAATGCATACATGGCAGTGAGAATAGCATCATAGTCAAGAGCAAAGACATCAACCCGCTGTCCAATCAGCTCCACCCAGGTAGGAAGCTCAGCCTCGTCGCCAAACACGGTACGCCAGGCGTCGCTCAGACGGGCGAAGCAGCGGGACGGTGTGTGACCAAGCGTCCCGCAAGGCTGACCAGCCCTAACACCTGTGCGAATGACGTACGGGCAGCGAACGGTACGCGAAGACCTGCTACACTGAGCGTACCACTCCTGGAGCTGCCGGGGCGTAAGTGTCTCGCCACTGCCAGACGTCCCCAAATGACCAGCTCCAGGGCGACTGCTACGACGGCTACCTCGACAGCCCCAACTAGTATACCACTCATCAAGCTGCTGGGGCGTGAGAGACTCACGTGAACGTCGCTGGAGCTGCATCTGGCCACCTGCCAGTAGCAGTAGCAGCAGCAGTAGCGCGGGCAGGGCAGGCGCGGCAGGCCGACAGGCAGGCAGGCCGGCAGGCAGACAGGCAGGCAGGCAGGCAGGCAGGCAGACAGGCAGGCAGGCAGGCAGGCAGGCAGGCAGGCAGACAGACAGGCAGGCCGGCAGGCAGGCAGGCAGGCAGACAGGCAGGCAGGCAGGCAGGCCGGTAGGCAGGCAGGCCGGCAGGCAGGCAGGCAGGCGCTCACCAAAGGCTGGAAGAGCAGGCGCTCGCCGGGCGAGCAGGGCTGGCGTTCGACGGGCGGCGGCCGAGTAGGCGCACGACAGCGGCGACGTCGGGGCCGCAACACCGGCTGCAGAGTAGGGCCGAAGCAGCTGCAGGGCGGGGCCGCTTCAGCGGCAGTTGCAGGGTGGGGCCGCGTCAGCGGCAGGTCGGGGCCGTGGCAGCTGCAGGGCGGGGCCGCATCAGCGGCAGGTCGGGGCCGAGGCAGAGGGCCGCGTGTGGCTCGGCGCGGGCTGCGCTGATAGCGCGCTGGGCTGCTGCAGGCCTCGCGCGGCCGCGCTAGGCAGTAGCGGGCCGCGCGCGGCTCGGCGCGGGCTGCTGCGGGCCGCGCGAGGCAGTAGCAGGCCGCGCGCGGCTCGGCGCGGGCTGCTGCGGGCCGCGCGCGGGCCTCGCGAGGCCGTAGCAGGCCGCGCGCGGCTCGACGCGGGCTGCGCGGGCTCGGCGCGGGCTGCGCGCATTAGTAGCGGGCTGTGCGCGGCAGTAGCGGGCTGCGCGCGGCAGTAGCGGGCTGCGCGCGGCTCGGTGCGGGCTGCGCGCGGCTGCAGCGGGCTGCGCGCGGCTCGGTGCGGGCAGCGCGCGGCAGCAGCGGGCTGCGCGCGGCTCGGCGCGGGCTGCGCGGGCTCGGTGCGGGCAGCGCGCGGCAGCAGCGGGCTGCGCGCGGCTCGGTGCGGGCAGCGCGCGGCAGCAGCGGGCCTAACGGTCTGCAGGGGCTGTTCGCGGGCCTGAAGGGCGTGTAGGGGCGGCGCGCGGGCCTTACGGGCCTCTAGGGGCAGCGCGCTGGCCTAGGGCAGCAGGAGGCAGCGCTAGGGCTGCTGGACGGCGCGCGTAGTGCAGCACGTCACAAGGCAAGGCAAGGCAGGCAGGTACGTGGGGTAGCGTGGTAACCGCAGCGGTAGGTGGGCCCGAAAAAAAAAAACGGTCCTACGGACCTTAGTGCTCTGAAACCATGTTAGAATCTAGCAGCAGGAATGAATGAACTAGCAGCATGCAGGAGTACAAGTAGTAAACCCTAATTGGGTTGTACCCCATATGGGCTACCCCACTACAGCCTAGACAATATGCAGCATATATGTTTGACACCCCTCACTCCTCTTCCCTTCGTCCGGCCACCGAGCCCTTCGAGACTCTCCACTTAGACGTCTGGGGCCCCGCTCCCCGCCTTGGCCCTGAGCGGGAGAGTTTCTTTCTGGTGGTCGTTGACGACTACTCTCGGTACACCACCGTGTTCCCTTTGGCGAAGAAGTCCGACGTGACTTCTACGCTGATCCGGTGGCTCCTCGCCACCGAGGGCACTCGTGGTCGTCGTGTCAGTTGTCTTCCCTCCAACCGTGGGGGTGAGTTTCGCTCCGGCATTCTCGCCAGATTCTGTGCTGAGCAGGGCATCACCCAGTCCTGGACTCTTCCAGACTCTCCACAGCAGAATGGGGTTGCTGAGCGCCGCTTAGGCCTGGTCATGGAGATCGCCCGCACCTCCATGATCCACGCCCGCGCGCCCCATTTTTTGTAGCCCTACCCGGCTCGGTACGCCGCTCACCAGCTGAACCTCTGGCCTCGCGTTTCTTGGCCAGGGGCTTCACCGACCAGTCTTTGGACAGGGTCCCCTGGTGTTGCGTCGAGGTTTAGTGTCTGGGGCTGCTTGGCTCTTGTCCGCGACACCTCCGCGGACAAGATCTCGCCTCGCGCTGTCTTCCTTGGTTTCCTAAAGGGCTCCTCTGACTTGGGTTGTGACGGGCGAGGTGGCGGGAAATAGTCGAGGCGAGTGTCGCGAGTTGTAATAATGCTGACAGTGGTGAGAAACAGTAATGTACGCGCTAAGGAGGGATGCGGCATAAGGAAATGGAATTTTCCTTACAAATGTTAGCTCATTCCTCCTCTCAAAAAACTGTTTTGCTTCGATAGTGGAATCCTCGTTCGATCACTCAATTGCACTCGTAACAACGGTCCTATACCTGGTATGGAGTGTGATGCGGAATAAAGAAAAACTGTTTCCGTTCACATTCCCACATAGCGCTGTTGCCCTGCGTGCTCGTCGTTACTCATCGCCGCTCGTCGCCATACTGTCGCCATGGAGGGACTTCTCGCCCGGAACAAACCCTCTCACGCGCTCGCCTGGTCATCCGCCGTCTCACCCGGCGTCCGTCGCGCCAACTCCGCATTTCCAGGGCGAACCACCCCTTCTTTCCACACTCGTTGCGGGCGATTACGGCCGAATCGGCGCGTGCGCGGGGTAGTAAAATGCTCGGCGCGCAGGTGAGACGCTTCCGTGGGTCACGGTAGCTGCAGATACACCATCGTCCATGGTTTCTCGCCGCTCCCTCCACCCCCTCGTCAGTTGCACTCACTCTCGTAATCCCCTCCCCTCCCCCCCCACCCCCTCCTGGTCCTGCAACCCCTCTCCCATTCTGTCCATCCCACCGAATCCTCCCGTCCGCGGCAGCGGGGGCGACGGGAGCGGCGGGGATGCGGGCGGCGGGATGGTGGGCGCGGTGACTGCAGCGGGGCAGGCGCTGTGGGGCAAAGGGCTGCCGCCGGGGCTCCTCGTGCAGGTCTCTTCTCTTTCCTTCCCGCTCCCCGTTTCCCGCCTGCGCTTCCCGCTCCCCGTTTCCCGCCTGCGCTTCCCGCTCCCCGTTCTGAATGAGGGCTGCGCCGCGACGCCCGGTGGTGTTGTGAGGGCGCGGCGCTCTCTGCTGTGCTGCTCCCCCGCATCATCGTCGTCTACTGTGCCCCCTGCCCTGCTCTGACCAGTGGCCGACCAACCCCCATTGCCGAAGCGCTAGTTGCAAGCACCTCTCCTCACCATCCTGCCCGTACCTCCCATGCTCGCCACGCTCTTTTTGCACCCTGTGGCTGCTCGCTCTGCGTATGCCCGCATGCCCACACGTGTGCGAATGACTTGGTATGCAATGCATGAATACGTGCGTGCGTACTTGTGTTGGTGTGCGTGTGTGTACGTGCGTGCGTGTGTGTGTGTGTGTGTGTGTGTGGGGGGGGGGGGGGTGGTGGGTGGGTGTGTCTGTGGGTGGGTGTGTGTGTGGGTGCGTGTGTGTGTGTGGGTGTGTGTGTGTGTGGGTGGGTTTGTTTGTGTGCGGGTGGGTTTGTGTGGGTGTGTGTGTGTGTGCATGCGAGCAGGTAGCGCGAGAGGCATGGGGCAGCGGGTGGCGAGTGATGATGGCGCAGCTGGCGCCCAGCGACGACGCCGGCAACTACAAGCGCACGCCCAGCGCATACCGCCACACCATCCATCCCCCACCCTCCACCACCACCACCACCACCACCACCACCACCACCAGCAGCAGCAGCAGCAGCAGCAGCGCCACCACAAGTAGCCGGCAGGCAGGCGCATTCCCAGCGGAGGCAGGGCGGTACCATCTGTACGCGGCGCTGTCGTGCCCGTGGGCGCACCGCACGCTCATCGTGCACGCCCTCAAGGGCCTTAGCGCCGCCGTGCTCCTCTCCATCGCCCGCCCCGGCGACGGCGGGCTCTGGGAGTTCGTGCCAGCAGGCTCAGGGCGAGGGGGGAGTGCTGTGGCGCGGCGAGGGAGTGGGAGAAGGGGTGAGAGGGGAGTGGGAGGGGATGGGGAGGGTGGTGGTGAGGAGGGGGAGGTGCTGGTGCCTACAGAGGACCGGGCGGGTGGGTGTGCGAAGCTGAAGGAGGTGTATGGCAAGCAGCAGGGCGGGTATGATGGGCGGTGCACTGTGCCCATGCTGTGGGACTCCAAGACCAAGTGAGCCATGGCACCTGGGTGCGCCGTGAATTGGGAGCGGGAGGAGGTGGTGAGGGGGATTATTGGGGAAGGGTGGTCTGTTGGGCTGGATCAGGGGAATTGGAGGGAATGGCATCTCCTTCACCATCATCTCAACAAGCGTATCTCATCTGCCATCTTCCTCCCTTCCTACCCCTAACCTCCTCGTGCCTCCTGCCCTCCTGCCTCTCTAATCCCAACTCTTCCCTCTTGTGACTCCCCTTCCTGTCTCTACTGCCTCTGTCCGCCCGCCATGAGCGCAGCCGCGTGGTGAACAACGAGAGTGCGGACATCATTCGCATGCTCAACTCATCCTTCAATGACTATGCCACCAACCCACACCTGGACCTCGCACCACCGGAGCTCGCCCAGCAGATGGCCGCATGGGACGAGGAGATCTACAACAACGTTAACAACGGCGTGTACCGGTGCGCCGCTGCCACTGCTCTCTCTTTCTGCATTGCATCGGGTGTGGAACATTATGGAAAACGCGTCTCAGCAGATTCCGTGGCTCTTGTGCCTGCTATTTTGAGGACTTTCGAGCAGGTATTATGATCTACTCATCGTCCTTCCCCTCCCCCACCTCCCCCCCCACCCCCCCCCAATCACCACCCCCACCCTCTTCCTTCCACCTCTTCTCCCATTCCCCATTTCCTCAACCCCCCTGTCTAGGTGTGGCTTTGCTACGAGCCAGACGGCATACAACAAGGCAGTGAACGACCTCTTCACCACTCTGGACCGCATTGAAGCGCACCTGGCCATGTCTCGCTTCCTCTGTGGCCCCACCCTCACCCTCTCCGACGTGCGCCTCTTCACCACGCTCGTGCGCTTCGACGCCGCTTACCACACTCTCTTCAAGTGCTCGCGCAGGAAGATCGTGGAGTATGACAACATTCATGCCTACATGCGCGACATCTTCCAGGTAATTACCAAATGTGTCCCCTCCCCCACCCCCTTTCCTCCCCCTCCTCCCTCCCCCCCCCCCCTCTTCATCCCCCTCCCTCCCCTCTCCTTCCTTCTCCCCCTTGTTCTCATGAACTCGCTCCTGTTCCTTTCCTAGTGTGTTCCTTCCCCCCATTCCCCCCTTCCTATCCTGCTCAATCCCCTCCCTTTCTGCTTATCAATCCAGTCACCATAATTCTCTGTCTGCTCTTTCTTCTAGGGTTTTTTCTTAGCCTCGAGAGGCTGGTTCACAAGTGACTAGTGTATCAATGTCCCTTTGCTGCACTCCAGATGCCTGGAGTTGCAGCCACGTGTGACATCGAAGGGGTGCGAGACAACTACTTTGGTCAACTCTTCCCCTTGAACCCTGGGGGCATCATCCCTGTGGAACCTCTCAGCTGTGACCGCTCACAGCTCTGGAAACCACATAGTCGGCAAGACCTTACAGATGCATGAGTAGATCCAAGAAAGGGTGCCTGTAACACTGGAGGGGTTATTTCTTTCCTGAATAGAGAGGTTCGACTGAAAGCTGTTTGCTGATATAAAGCACCCTGGAAGGTGCTGTTATCGCGCAATATATGTCTGAAATTTAGGTCTTGTAACGAAATTCTCAAAATTTACCAAGTCTGGAAACCCGAAGGATTGCCAACTGTGTAGGATTGCACACTGTTCCGTAGGATTGCCAACTGTTGCGTAGGATTGTCGCTAAAACCCTAGCAGGTGTAACACGCTTGTAACCGTACTGGTTACAGGTTGAAAACCACCCGCAGTCTTGTGTTGTCCAAACACATTCATCTTGACTGCTGACCGGAATCTAAAAACGTCAAGATCCACTCCAAGGGGATGTGAGGGTGCTGGAAGCCCTGAACGACATCCATGCCGTCAAGCCGCCCCGCGAGTAATATTTGGGATGCCATCCGACGGATGTCCGACCTATCTTCACGTATACGGTACCGATGACGGACATCGGCGGACTGCGCGAGAGTGGAGGGGAGTGTGGAGGGGAGTGTGGGCGGGGTGAAGAGTCTGGGAGGGTACGGCAGGGTCTGCCGCTGGGATGTCAGGGCGGGTCCGAAAGTACGAATACATTTCAATCGGTGAATAGTAACCATAATCTGCCTTTTCGCCACTCGTATTCGAATTACGTTGGCGAACTCCACGAACGGGACTTAACAATTTCGGTCGTGTTTACAAACCCGAAACCGCGATCCCAAATCCTTTCCGCCACCCCAGCTCGCATCGCATTTGCCGTGGATTGCATTGGATCGTGACTGTAACAGACGGTTGCGGCAACTGGTGCGCTGCGTCGGCTGGCCAGCACAGAGTGGGGCTTTTGGGGTGCTCCAGGCAAGCGGGAGGCCGTGCCAAACCGGTACACTGACTTGGCTTGGCACGCGTCAAAGCTTGTCAGTGCGCCGATTTACGTTGGCACGAACCAGGTCGACCTAGCACATGCCCGCAATGTAACCCTGCTGACAGCTCGCAACTCTGACCTCGCGAACTCTCTCAAAAGTCGTGAGTAACCGAGTCAACAAGACCAAAATCGAACCCTCATTTGCCAACTCCCAACAACTCTCCCACCACATGCTGAGAGGTGTCTCAGGTACCTGGTCCGCTACGAGCCGGTCCGTTACCAGAATGTGCGTTCCTGGTCCGGAGTTCTGGTCCGACGGACCCAGTTCGCAGACCAGGCGTGGACCAGACACGGACTGGTCCGTATGATGCATCGAGTCGCGGTCTGTACAGTTTTTGCGAGTTGAAACAGTAGCGACGAGATTCAAACATGTTATAATCGAGTTACCTTTTTTCTGTGCAGGTATGTTTCCCCATCCCGTCGATCACGAAATTCACGAAGGCCGTGCAGTTTCGAGAAGACATGTGGGAGGTGCTACAGTTCCCGGACCAGCCACAGGCTGGTCTGCCGACCAGATCCATGGCACCGATGTAGTGCCATTCGAAATTTATAACGGGGGTTTAACTCCCGCATCCCGGACCAGTCCGTCGCTGGTTCACGTGGTGGTTTTCGAGCTGGTCCGTCGGGTCCGCTTCGGTTTCACGTGAATCCGCGCATTTAAGACATGTCCTGAAGACCTACCGCAAATTTCTAAGCATTTACACAATCTTCGCTGCAAATGATCCGACCCTAAAACCCTAACGCCCTGGGGGCCCTGCTGCCGTCACATCACAGCGCGTTGCGACCGTGACTGACGCTAGGTCATAGTCAAATGCGTGATGGTGACAAGCTTGAGCGATCACGTCGCCGTGTTCGCCATGGCGTCAACCTCAACGTCCGCCGAAGGTCAATCGACCGCCTTTGTTTTGCGGAAACGGCATGATATTATAAATTCTGGCGGCAGTCGACGCAGTGCTGATGTCGTGTGAACGCATGTCCACATCCCGCCCTCTCAAAGACTTCCTTGCTCACCGGGCCCTCTTCGGTGCCCTCGTCGGTGCCCTCGTTGCTTAGCTGCTACTGCATCGGCCCCGTTCTCACGCAGCTTCTCGCCTCCATGGATTTCCTCCGACTTATTCTTATCGGTAACGCCCCTCTCTGACCTCTTACACGTTCTATCGCGCGTTTCAGTATTTCTTCGCGTCTGGGTTGCGTACTAACAGCGCATTCTGCGCGTGTGTGTGCCCTGAAAAACTGGCAGGCTTGGCCGTGAGGGCAGCGGCGGGAAACACCCTTGCTGACCTCGTGAATCAGGTGGTACCAGACCTGCCTACGCTGCCCGCCGTGCCCGTGCCCACGGTTCCCCACAGCGTATATACGGACCAGAGCAACAACAACGGCAACATAGCAAACCAGGTGCAGAGCAACACGCAGACGGCGGATGCCAAAGATTCCTCCACCGTCACCCAAACCAACTCCCAGTCGCAGACCGCGTTCGCTCAGGCGCCCGCCACTGCTGCTGCCGCTGCGGCAGCGCCGGCTCCTGCTGCCCCCCCGCCGTGCTTCCCGTTCCTGCAGAACCCACTGCAGGGCGTGCCGTCGAGCATCACCATTGACGTGCCGCCGCAGCTTCCGTGCACCATTGATGAGCCCGCCCTGCCGTCCCTGTCGTCTCTGCCTCTGTTCCCGCGTGTGCCCACCCGGCTGCCCACTGTCAGCTTCCGCTTCCGCGGGTTGCACCTGTTCCCACGCGGCGGCACTGAGCAGGTGCCGCTTGCACATGGTATCGAGGACAAGACTGCAATAAGTGCTCCATAGTAGCTGATGTGTCCGGTGCCATGAAAGGGCTGCAGGGAAGAAAAGGCCTTGGGTAGGTTTGGTACCAGCAGAATGGATAGATGGAAAGCACCGGTGTTGAAGTACCATGCATAAAACCATCATTTGTCAAGCCTTGATGATCCAACCTCATTTAGAGCACATCCAAGGTTGAAGGATCTTGTGGGCTCTCCTCTCCTACCCATTTCCATGCTGGTACCGTACTTCTAACCATATTCAAGACTTGTACGGTAGGGGTGATAGCAGTATGAGGTGTACCATTACAAACAACTCACTCCTAACATGTACAGCAAGTTGGCAACGAGTAACACAGCATCACCTCTCTAACACGAGTAACTTCTGCAATCAAGCTGTCAACGCCATGTAAGGGTAACCTTGGAAAGCCCATACAAACAAAAGCACTTCATGAATAGGCAAACGAGCAGCTCTCCATCTGACCGCTCAGAACGGCGATGCAAACGCAGTGACACCACCCTTCCCTCTGCCCGCCTGCCCGCCAGCAGCAGCAGCCCTCCCTGCTGCACCACCCGCGCCTGCAGCAGCAGCACCCGCCCCCGCCTTGTCAAAGCGCCTGACAGTGCCCATGCCGCAGATGGGGCAGCCGGGGGTGGCGAGCGCAGCGAAGCACGCATTGCAGGTGTCACACACGTCGTGGCCTATGGTGGGCAGCAGCGCCAGCGACGCCGCACAGAAGCGCGAGGGGTCCTCGTTGCGGTTGATGGTGCGGTCTGTGAGGCCCCGCGACATGCAGATGCTGTTGCAGGGGAGGACAGGGCGGGGGGGAAGGGATGGCCCGTGTTGTGGAATGCAGGGCGAGAGGTAGGCGTGCGGCAGCAACAAAGGCAGGCAACAGGAGCTGGAAACACGCGAATGAGGAAAGAACTGAACACAACTGGAAACGGCATGTGCACATGAAAATTGTAGCTTTCAGCCACTTGCAGCCATCTTAAATCTCTCCCATTTCCCTTCCTCCCTCCAACCTCACCCACCACTGGCCTGGCATCCAACTCAACAATGCCCTCAACACTTCCCAGTCCCAAACCCCCCCCGCCCCTACTCCACCCCCCCCCCCCCCCATTCACCCCCTTTCCCCTACTCCGCCTTACGTACTTGGCAAGTGCCCGGAGCTCGGCCTGCTTGTTGGGGGGCGCCTTGGCGAGGAGGGCGTGCAGGAGGCGGTTGGAGTAGGCGAAGTTGTGCACCTCCATGTTGCGCCGGATGGCCGTGCGCGCACAGCTGATGCGGTGCTTCGGCTGCAGCGGCAGCGACGCCAGGTGCCGTGCCAGGCGCGCCATCTCCTCCTTGGCGCCCAGCGCGCCCTGCCCCTCCGCCTTCTGCAGCCGCACTATCTCCTGCTCGCGCACACAGGAAACGGGAGGGTGGGGGAGGCGGGAGGGTGGGGGAGGTAGGGGACAGAACGAGGACGGGGCAATATAGGGAATCAGGAAAGTGTCGACGCTGTTCGGCAGCAGAATCAGGGGCGCAGTGTTGCAGTAAAATGGGCACGTCTCGGCTTACGAGTTGCTGAGATAGTACGAGTGCTCAGTGCTGGGCGCATGCCACATGCTGCACGCAACGCACATTACAAATGGTGCCCAGAGGCTCGCATTGTACAACATGAATTTGATAACTTGTGTGTTCCCACAGCGGCTTAGCATGTGTATGTGTGCATGCCACCATGCGGTGGCATCACACTGTCCCAGTGCCACACTCACGTGCCATCACTTTGGCCGCACATCCAACCAAAGCAGTCGCCCTGCAAGCACATCATTAACTTCAAGCGTCGTGCTAAATATACCCTCCCGCCACGCGAGCTCACTCATCCAAGCCACACCTCACGGGCACACTAACAAGCACGGGAAAAAGCCCATCCGACCCACATCGCCACAGCCACTACCACCCCCCCATACACACATCGCATAACCACTCCGCATGCACACCACCCAGAAACGCACACTCCATGCATCCCCCACCCTCCCCCCTGTTCCCTCCCTGCTCCCCCGTGGCACCTGCAGGATGGTAGCACCGATCTTGTAGTGGGCAGCAATGCGCGCCTGGGCCTGAATGTTCTTGCCGAGGGAGCGGTCCTTGGCCATGGCGAGGAAGGCCTCGTCCACACACGCCAGTGCGTCCGCCAGCCGGTTGTCGTCCACGTGCACCAGCGCCACCTTCACACACACCGCTGCTGACGCGCCACGTGGCACCTGTGGATTGGATAGGCAATGCGCGCGGGGTATTAGGGAGGAGAGGTGGGGAGCGGGGTGGAGTGGGAGTGGTTATGGACGGTTCAGTGCAGGGAGAGGAGGTGTGAGAGGAATAGACGCACAGCAGCAGCATGAGCATGAACAGCAATGGCATAAGCAGCAGCGGCTGCACTGACATAGCCAGGGAGGATCTTGGTGGGCATGGCAGCACGAGCTGCCTCCCGCTCCTTGCTGGGGCCCTTCTCCCCGCCCGCCTGTGCCTCTGACAGCGCTGAGATCTCAGGAGGCAGAGCATTCGCACCATCCGCTTCCGCCCCACCAGCCTTTTTCGGCAGCGGCACCTTGAGCTGCTGCCCCGGTTCCCCCTTGCCCTGCGCCTCTGCTGTTCCCGCCAGCAACCCCCCAAACTCCTCCTGCGCTGCCGGCTCTGCTGCTGCTGCTGCGGCGGCTGCTGCGGGCTGCATCTGCAAAGGACCTGCCGATGGAGGGGGCAGCATGGGCCGTTGCTTCCCTGCTCCTGCTGCTGCTGCTGCTGCTGCTGCCGCTGCTTCCGCCGGTGCGGGTTGAGTGGCTTGGAAGGACGGCTCTGCAGAGAAGGGAACGTCGTCCCCAAACAGCTCCTTGCTCTCCCCCACCACCTCTGCTCCCACCGCTCCTCCCTCACCCACTGCCGCCACGGCTGCGGCGGCTGCTGCAGCTGCGGCTGCGGCTGCGGCAGCAGCACTGCCATCCGGCCCAGCAGCGCCCTGCTGCCCTGGCGGCAGCATGGGTTTCGCATACCCGAGCGCCACAGCCTGTGCAGGAACCCCTCCCGCTTGCCCCAACCCCAGCGCACCCAGCCCCGGGGGGGTGGCCCACACAGGGCCGCCAGCAGCGGGTGGCACGCCGTTGACTGCTGGCTGGCCGGCAGTGGCAGCAGCAGCAGCAGCAGCAGTCGCCAAAGGGCACGATGGCGAGGCCAGAGGAGTCGGACTCGAACTGCTGCCACCCGAACTCCTCTGTGGCGGCAGCGGATGGTGGCTTGGCTGGTGCGCCCAGAGTGAGCGTCTTGGACGCCGCCTTGAGGCGCCCCACATCCACCACTCCTGCCCGCGCGTCCTGGGGTGGGAGAGAGAGAGAGCGAACGGGACAACAACATAGAAAAGAATCATGAGAAAGGGTGGAAGGCTTGAAGTGACAAAGAGAGGAAGAGAAGAAGTTGGGAGAAGAGGACAGAAGAAGGTGCTGATGTATCCATCCGTGAGGTCACAGAATCAACAAGAGACACCAGTTGCCTGGAACAGCTCGGAAAAGGATACATGCATTGGCGTGCACTGCACTGGTGGTACCTTGTCCTTGATCTTGATGCTGAACTTGCTGCGCCGGGACGTGGTGGACATGGTGTCATCGTCGCTGTCGCTGTCAAACGCCTCCCCTGCCCCGTACATACTCGTCTTGAACTCCGCAGCCGCCCGCTGCTGCGCCTCCTCCGCCGTCTCCTCCCCTCTCGGCACCGCCGCGCCTGCTGCTGCCGACGCCGCCTCAGCCCCGGGCAGGAAGCTCGCAACAGCTGCCGCCATGATCTCTGCCTCGGTGGCCTTCTTTTTCTTCTTCTTCACCTCCTTCTTGCCCTCGTCCTTCTTCATCTCGAGAATCTCTGTGACCACGCCCTTGCCGCGCGCCACGCCCAGGTAGACCCCCACGCTGTCCGCAATGATGATGGGAATAGCGCCGCCCTCTGTCTTCATGTACGCGGTTACCTCATTCCCAAACGTCCACGAGTGGGTGATCTCCGCTTGAGGCTTCAGCCCCCCTGCTGCCGCCGCTGCCCCCGCCGCCGCTGCTCCCCCTACAATCGCCCCTCCTGCCGCTCCAGCAGCAGCAGCAGCAGCAGCATCTCCAGCAGCAGTGCCGGCAGCAGGTTTGGCCTCAGACGGGTCAGGGGCGACGAGCACGGTCCAGTTCCCGCCAGCCCAGTCGGCAGGTCTCGGTGCGAGTGCCTCCTGTGCAATAGCAGAGAGGACACCGCCCTGGTTCCAGAGGGACGAGCGCACCTTGAGCACCTGCATGCACTCGCGCTCCAGCTCCGGCTGTGCCTCGGTCTCCTCCAGCGTGGCGGCAAGGCGGCGCAGTGCGGAGGGGTTCATGTGCGCGATGAAGAGGTCGTACATGGCCTCGTAGTCCCCCACTACCTCAAAGGTTGCTTTTGCCTTGTCAAACTGCGCGAACCTGGTGTGGTGAAGGGGGGGAAGGGAGGGTTGGGGGAGAGGGAGGCGTGTGGAGGAGGGCACGGGATGAACGAAAGAGCTGGGTCTTATGTAGGGGGAGGAGAGGAGGAGAGGAGGGGAGCGGGGAAGTGAGAGTCGCAAGAGAAAGATACGTGGTGGTTCAGAGTGGAAGTGACAGGAGTGCGGGCAGGAGGAGGGGGAGAGGGGAGGAAGAGGGCGGAAGGAAGAGGAGGCTCACGTGATGCAGCGGCGGCCGAGCTGCCTGAAGCGGTGAAAGAGGCGCGAGGAGGGAGGGCAGCGCGGGTAGGCAATGGAGTGGTGGAAGTCGGTGGTGAGGATGTCCAGTGCCTTGTCAAAGTTGCGCGCCCTCATCGCACTCATCACCCTCACCTCCTGCTCCCATCCGCGCACACCACCAGCCATGAAGGGGGAGGAGGAAAGGGGGGAAAAATGGCAATTGAAGGAGGGACGGCGTGTGTGCAGAAGGAGAGGGGCGGAGGAGAGGAGGAAGAGGAGTGTGTGGAGAGTTTTAGAGCAAGGGGAAGAACAAGAGAAGCAGTGCAATGATGCACAAGAAAGTGATGCATAGTGGCGTTGCTAGCCATATCCTGCATTGGAATATCGTGCATCAAGGTTGAGCAAGGCACCGTGGAGCGGAGGGAAAGGCACGGAGGCGCAATGACATGCAGGGCCAAACCCACCGAGTTAAACTGAGGTCCAGTTTCAGAGAGCTCGAGTGCCAGCTGGCAGCAGATGGTTGGTCCGCGACTGAGCAGCTCCACAAGGCGCGGAGTGAGGCGCATGACGTCAAAGCTGCAGGGCGATGAGGCAGGCGAGGTGGGGAGAGGGATAGATAAGCACGCAGAGAGTGTGGGGGGAGAGGGAGGCAGGCAAGGGGGGAGCGGGGGGGGGGGGGGGAAAGCAGGCAGGGGGGTGGGGAGGCAGGCAGGGAGGGGGAGGCGGGGTATGGAGGCAAGATGCACGGGGGGGTGGGGTGACGAGGGCGGTCCTGGTGGGAAAGGGTAGTGTAGTGGCATTGGCCACAACAACAGTAGGTGAGAAGGAGGTGGTGAGGGTGCAAGAGAGTGGCTGGTGCAGCAGAACACGGCAAGCAGCCCTGTGGGAACGTGCGGCTCGTGCAGCCGTGACAGCTGCTGACACAAGTTCCATCCCATGTTCCCCTCCCCCCCGTTCCTACTTCTCTTCCCTGCCTGCTCCTGCCTGCCTGCACCTTCCCCCATGTGCAGCACAAGAGCACGTGGAGACAAGACGCACAGCAAACCTTAACAGGAGCCACAGAAGCAACACAGGGCAGCCAGCGGTAGCTCCCTCCTCCCCCGCCAGAACGCACAGCACACTCGGGCACCCAGAGCAGCACAGAGCAGAGGACACGTACCGGGAGATGAGCTGGGAGATGAGCTTGGGCAGGTGCAGCATGGGGTGCGGCCCCTGGGAGTGCACGAGTGACACCCACCCCGCGAGCAGCGGCTCCAGCAGCCCTGTGAGGCGCTGCTGCACGTCCACTGTGGCCACCCGCCCCACTGCCACCGACGCCCCTGTTGCCACCACCAGCCGGTCGTTCAGTGCTGCCAGCAGCACTGCATGCATGGTGGGGTGGGGGAAGCGCAGGGATGGCCGGGGAAATGGGGCAGCGCGAGCGGAGGTCGGGACGTGCGGAGAGGAGGGTATGTACTGGGAAGGGAAATGATACAGGATGTAGGTGCGGAAAGATAGGTAGACGAGAGGGATGGGGGGAGAAAAAGGACAGAAGAGCCAGGTGATGCCGCACCATTGGTGCAAAACAAGACAGACTTCCTGACCGCAGAGTGCAGAAAGGGTGGAGTAAGAAGCTCCAGCACGGTCCCAACAGCAAGACGCAGCAGGTTGACAACTCGGCACTAGGTAGGCTGCGGGAGAACAAGAAGTGGTAATTGGAGAGTGGGCAGACCTGAGTTGGGCGAGCTGAGGGCGACTATGGGGCGGACGACAGAGTCCCAGCCAAGCATGAAGACAGCCGAGTCGGTTGTGAAGAGCAGTGCGGGGCCCACCCACAGACACGAGGTGAAGTGAGCAGCCGTCAAGGAAAAACGCAGTGTGGAAAACATCGAGTGATAGAACGGAGCTAGAGCATAGGAGAGGAGGCGGGACGGAAAGCATCAGCGGAAGGAGGGAGGAGGGAGCAAGTGGACGCGGGTGCAAAACATGGGGTAGGATGGGTTGAAGAATAAGGCGACAGGGAGAGGGTGCGCTGAGGGGAGAAAGGAAATGATGACAGCGAGAAAGGGAGAAAGAAATCTAAACCAGACTAGACATGGGGCACAGTAAGTCGGGATGAGGAGAGAGAGCGAGAAATAGAAGGGGCGAAAGGGAGGGGGCGGGGGGAGGGGCAGGGGGAGGGATTGTTGGTGGGATATTGGAGGGTGGGAGTCGCGGGAGGAGGCGGTGGTGCTGGCGAGCACAGAGAGGTCAGAGGCCACTATGAGCAGGCGCATTGTGGTCATCACCGCTGCCACGTGCCCTGTCACTGCCTTCTGCCACCACACCTGTTGCCACGTACAGGCAAATGATGGGCGGACAGTGAGGCGATTTATGAGCACGTGAGGCGAGAGCGGTGATGGAATGGAAGTGGCAGGTGGGAATGGGAGGAGTAGAGAGTGCCGCAGGAGGGCTCTGAAGAAAGTGAGAAGCAGAGAGCATGGGAGAGAGACGGCGAAGGTGGCAGGTGAAGGAGGAAGAACGGCAACACGTAGAGACACAGGTGGAGATCGAGCAGAAGGGAGCAGCAATGGCAGGCCATGAAAGAGTTTTTTTTTTGTGGGAGAGTAGACAGCAGACAGCAGGGCAGCCCAACAAACAGGCACACTTTCCCCTGTCCCCCACCTCCCACACCCACATTATTTCTCGTCACCACATTCACTCCACATGCCACAAATCCAAAGCAGGCCACCATATCTAACACAGCAGTACGGCTACAGCACAGCACAGCATATGAAATGAGATGAGAGCAGAGGAGGTGGGCGAGAGTTAAGAGCGCGCGAAACCACCTGCAGCACGGTTTCCCCGAGCTTGAGGGGCAGGTGGGCCTTGTCGTGCTTGCGCGTGGAGAGCCACATGAGCCCGTCCGCCTCCACCAGGTCGCCTGCAGGCCGCCCGTACTCGTCCACATACACGTTCACCACTCCCATGTGACTGCCCAACGCCACGTATAGCAGCGAGTCCTCTGCCCTCCCATGCACGTGTACATACGTGGGGTGCGTGTGCGCGTGGGTGGGGGGGGGGGAAGAAAGGGGGCCGTGTAGGAAAAGGGGGTGTTTATGGGAGGAAAGAAATAACTAAGGGAAAGGGATGGTGGAATGGAGTTGGCCTCACAGAGAAAGCGAGGGAGCGGAAGAGCAGCAACAAGGGGGCAAGAGAGGGAGGACTGAGTTGAACCCCTCACACAGCCCTGACAGCACGCTGGTCTACTTGAACACGACCACATTATTCCTCTGGAGTGCAAGAGTACGCACCCATGGGTGCGGGGAAGACGCGGTGCACCGGCGTCTCAAAGGTGAACTCGACAGGCCCGTCCTGCCCCTTGGCCGCCTGCTTGTGCTCCACCTCCTCCTGCACCTCGTCAAACCGGCTCCCAAACCCCGTGAACGTCGTCTCTGACTCGTCCCCGCCGCCCCCCTTGCCGCCACCGCCACGCTGCTGCTCGTCCTTCTCGTCCTCCTCCTCCTCCAGCTCCTGCGGGGACTTGTTGGGGTCCTGCAGCGGCAGCAGCGTGAGCACGTAGCCTGTCTCGCCCAGCAGTGCCAGCTTCTTGTCGTGGTGCCCTATGAACGCCCCGTCACGCGCTTGGATGTCTGCGCAGGGGAGAAGGAGTCACGCAGGAGGGAGGGAGGGTATGAGAGCAGGAGATAAGGGCGAGGAGCTCTATGGGCGGATGTGGATATTGGCGTCTGCCAGGCCATGGGAGGGCGTGCTTGCCGTACATGAAATGATGCAGCAGGCACACTCGTTTACACAGCTTGCAACTCCCACACATTACCCTTGGTCTCCCAACAGACCTCCACCAAGTTCCAACTGGGGACAACAGAACCACCCGCAGCCTAACCACCCCACCCCACTGTAGCTCAAATCCATCTCCTGCCCCCCATACCCCCATTTCCCCTCCCCCCCCGCCCCAATTGTCCGTGAGCAGCAAGGCGTGCATGGCGTGGCGTGTAGAGCCCCACCAGTGAGCGTGTCGAGCCCCTCGCCCAGGGGCTCCATGACGTCCAGGTAGCGCTGCACCACCATGGACACGCCCCCTCCGCCTGCCGTGCGCGCCGCCTCAAAGAACACCAGCATGCACTGCTGCTTCTGGCTGTACACCATGTGTGTTGCCCTCCGCTGCTGCCCCTTGCCGTCCTGCCACCCACACAGCGTTGCCAAGGAGGGTGATTGGAGAAGGTGTGGGTGACGGTGAGGGATGATGGGAGGTTGGGGTAGTGGGGGTAGTGTGGGCAGAGAGAAGAGAGGGAGGGATGGGAAGAGAGTGCAAGGTGGGGAAGGGAGAAGAAGGGGGTCAGGGGGAGGAGCGGGGAGAAGAGGATGAACTGGTGATTAACACGTGTGAAGTGTTGGCTTGCAGTGAAAATGACATGGAGCAGTGACGAATGTAAGTGCATGAGAAGCGTGCACACCAGAATACACACATAACAAAACGCACACGCGCACACACACCCACCCACTCCTAACCCCTTCCCCCCGCCCCTCCACACACGCAAGCAAATAGAGAGAGCAGAGCAGAGGCACGCACGACGGGCGGCAGTTTCTTGAGGCTGGAGAGAACCCCAGTGGCGAGGCTGAAGGCGACGATGGAGCAGCCATCCATGAGGGCTATGCGTGAGGGGAAGCGGAAGATGGCCTGCTCGCTGTTGTAGAACAGCAGTGGCGAATGGAATGGCTGCTCGCCCCCCCACCACACACACACACGCGCGCGCGCATGCGCGCCCCCCGAGGAGAATGGGTTTGGAGAGGGGAAAGAGAGGGGGGGGGAGTGGTGGAGAGTGGGAGGGGAGGGACGGGGAGGAACAGAAACAAGGCATAGAGAGGATTGTTGGGTGTGATGAGAAAAAAGCACAATCAAAGGCACGTTTGCAAAGCATGATGGCAGGAAGAACCACACGTGAGAGCCGAATGGCAGGCAGAATGGGGGAGAGGGCGAGGGGGGGAGCTCACATGGGCGATGGGCAGGTCGTTGGCGGGCTCGAGTGGGTCGAGCACCCGGATGAGCGGCAGCGTGGTGAGATGCCCCGCCGTGTCCAGCAACCCCCCGTGGGTAGGCTGTGACACAAGCAGGGCGTGGGCAACAGGGCGTGTCGAGCGGAAGAGTGGGAACAAGTGGAGAGAGAGAGACACACACATGTCGGACCAGGGGTGTCAAGAGGATACACGGAGTACATGAAGGGTAAGTAGATATGTATGAGAAGCAGGGTGGAGGGTACGCCACTCACCCCATACAGATAAGCCTTGCGTGCAAAATCCAACAATGTTGGCTGAGCAAGCCTGGGGTAGTGGAAGGGGGAAGGGGGGTGGGCACGAGAAACCATCATCCTCCGAGTGTATGGACCCAGCCAGTGATTATGCCTTCATGCCTTCCCCAAGCTTCACAAGAACAATATGGGTCACGAACCGTGGGCAGCAGGATAAATTAAGGTACAGCCATTAGTGGGAAAACAGCAGCAGCTGAAGGATTCTGTGGGGCGCGCAGTACAGTAGCATGTGGCATACAAAAAAAGCTGTTCCATGCCATGTTGCTCACTTGGTTTGGCCGCGTGTCAGCACCAGCTGCTCCTGAAGCTGCTGGTCGGACATAAGTGCTGATGGCCCCAGTGCTGACAGCTTATCACGCTGGCTCGCTGCAAGGCACAAGGAACACACAGGCGAGAGCAGGGAAGCAATGTTACGCACTAGCATAGGTATGAGACAATAGCACAGACCGCCGGCTCCACTCGTCAGACAGACGACCCAAGCTGACAAATCTGCCAAGTCACTTCAACTCGAGTCAAGCCGAATCGGCTCAGAGGGCCGTGAGCAACTCGTCAGCACCTATGTGACGGAAGACGCAAGACGCGTCTTGCGTCTAGCGTCTAGACGCAGCGTCTAGACGCTAGACGCTAGACGCGTGTTTAGACGCTAGACGCTTGGGTAAAAAAATTTCGGTCAGCCCGAAAAAAAAAATTCTCGCGGCCGAAATTGGATTTCGCAATTTTGACGCGAAATTCAATTTCGCAACATTTGAACACCCTCCCACCCATTTCGACAATGAAAAACAGCCCAACCAACCAACTTTTGTTACCCCCCAACCCAAATTGCAACCTCAAAGGTCTTTGTGGACCACCACCAAAGGCATATAGGAGCACAACCACCTCATCTGTGCTCCTCACATCAAGTGCAACTCAATTCTCCTTCAAAAACCCTTCGGGTTTACACGCTAACTCAATTCTTCTTCAGAAACCCTCAACCCTTTTTGCCAAAATGTGTGCAATGTCCTTCTCCCCGCCTCTCCACGCCCTATAAGAGGGATTTTTTCGCTGCCCGGACGTTTTCGTCTAATATGCGTCTAGTCTGGCCTGAAATGCGTCTAGCGTCTTAGACGCTGCGTCTAGACGCAACCGTCTAAGACGCTAGACGCGTCTTCCGTCACATAGGTCAGCACAAGTTTGCAGGTGCCTCGATGAGTCTAGCAGTCACATCATTCCTGCGCACAAATTTGGCAGCAGGCTGCCAGATCTGCACAAAGCTGGTGAGAAGATGCCAGATCCGTTCAGATCCGGGAGATGGCCACACGCCGCACCAGCTCGTCTTGGATCCACCGGCTCACATCAGCTACAGCGGATGAGCCACGAACCGGGTCAGCTGCCTCGGCTCGTCAACCCACAGGCTCGTTGGGGCTCGCGACAAGGCGGCACGCTTCAGCCCTCTGCTCTTGCCCAGTCCTCCGCACAAATATATATTCTCATACCGTATCATTCTAATGCATCTCGTTTCCCATGCGTCCCAAAACCCTAATTTCCTCCTTTTCCCCCTCTTGAACTTCTCCATACTTCCCCACGCCCTTTGGCATTGGCGGCCGTGCTCCCTGTGTGTGGGCTCACCCGGGTCTGGAGCGCCCCTGGCGGACTGCAGCATGTCCAGCAGCGCCCTGCGACTGGCCTTGCTGCGATTCTGCTCCCTCTTACGCACTACGTCCTCTGCTGCCCCCTCCCTCTGTTGCCACCCGCATGGCATACACAGCACAGCACACGCAGGTACATACACACGCACATTCCCAATAAGAGACACATGCGCACAGGGGCAAGCACTCGAGTATGTACCCACAACGACATCAATGTTATCCACTCGATTACCGATGCGCCAGATGATAACAGATGGACAACATAATTGAAATGGACAACACCAGAAAATACATGACTTGGGTTGCAAAGTGAAAGCAATCAAGAGCACTGCGCGTTGCAAGGGAAGAGAGGGTGCGTACGAGAAAGAGCAGGAGGAGGAAGTTGAGTGTGGGGTGCACGTGCAGGGTGCGGATGCGCGGCACAGGAACGACGGACTGGCCGCCGGCCTGCACCAGCAGCCGCTCCACGTCCACCTCCACCGCCTCTGTTGCCCCCACACACTCGCCGCGGCCATCACACGCCATGCGCAGGAGACGGGGTTGGGGGGGGTGAGGAGTACTCAGTCTCAGAGAATGAAGGTTTGCAGGGCAACCAGATGGAGAACGAAGTGGGGAAGGGAGGGAGGAGGGGCAGAGGAGGTCGTCGTACTGGTGGTAGGGAGCAAAGGCATGCGGTGCTTGTGAGGGTTCTTGTGGTGCTGAGATGAGAGCGGCAGTGGTGGTGCAGCGTACCGTATTCGTGAAAGAAGTGTGAGTTGGAGGCGAGGGCGAGAGCGGGGTTGTGGTGGATGTGGGGGGAGTAGGCCTTGACGGTGCCATCACGCGTGAGCACCAGCAGCAACTCCAGCGGTGCATGCCACACACACGCCATCACTGCCACCACTGCCACCTGCAGACTGCACAACCCATGCGCCGCACACCAGGGATCAAGCCCGTCCAAAGAACGAAAGAAAATCGAGGGTCGATTGAATCCATGGCAGTGTAACAATATTGCAGAGTCCATGTTACATGGAAAGGCAGAAACAGAGAGCAGAGAGCAGAGCGCACAAGTGACGGGGATGAGAGGAGTGAGTGCAGTGCGAAGGATGTGTGCTTACAATCCGATGAGGTTGGGGCGAGCAGGCACAGAGATGTCCCATGCGAGCAGTGAGCCCGAGCGGTCGCCCACAAAGATATGGTCCAGCAGGTGGTGGCACACCATGGCTGCTGCCCCCATCAGTTTCACTGACGGATCGTCCACTGCAGCACAGGCGCAATGGGACATGGAAAGCGCAGAGGCAGCAATGAGCGAGCGCGGAATAAGGTGGCAAACGAATGAGTGCAGGCAGAAGCAAAGATCTCTGAACTGGTGGCCTGGGAAAAATGGTTTAGGTGCATGTGAAGAAACCGGGAAAACGGATGCAGAAATTATGCTAGGGGCGTGAATGAATTTAAAAAGGGGAACAAGTCGAGGTGAGACAAATATACAGAAAACATCGGAAGCGGGTGGTGTAGATTGTGGGAGCAAAAGGGAGCATGTCTGACAGGAGAGGGTGTAGAGCAGGTTGAAGGAGGTGACATGGTGGGCCCGGATGACGCCTTCTGCGTACGCCACAAACTGATTCACACACATGCACCATGTATGCACAGCGGGGACCAGACACATCAGGAGGAAAACAAACAGGTGAGATGAGTAACAAGGGGATGCATGGCGTCTGGTCTCCATGTGGCAAGTTATAGCAAAACAAACAAAATAAAACAACCCAGATTGCTAATCCTCAGTGCATCTACTGCCCTGTGTCCTTTAGTGGCTGCTGTGGTTCTCACGAGCACGGGGTGGCGCGGATGGCATGCGAGTGCAGTGATGGGCTTCTTGAACTCCGTCTTCAGCTTTGTGGCTGGCCGAATGCCCTCCAGCACTCCCACCACTGCACGCATGCACACACCGCAGAAACAGGAGCTGATTCGACATCTGGTTCACTGAGTGTACTGTCCCTGACGTGCTATGGAGAACAACCAGGTCCTCTAAAGATCATGGAACAATTAGGCAACTTTTCACCAGCTAAATCAGGACACGCAGGCGGACAGCAAGCAGGCGGGCAGCAGGGGGGAGAGGCAAAGGGGGGGTGAGGGAGGAGGCTGACCATGTATGGAGGTGCGTCTGTGCGCGGCAAAGAAGGCCCAGGGGCGGTGGGCGCATATCGCCAGGTGCACTTCAGCGGGCTTGTCGCCACGGCGGTCAGGGGGGGTGAAGAGAATGGCTGTGAGCTCGCTGTCGTGGTCCCAGCACCTGATGGTGTGGTCCTGGTGCCCGTGCGTCACGAGTCAAAGCAGGGAGACATATGAGAAAGGGTTCGATTCAAAAGAGATTTGTGTATGTAGATAAATGGAAAGGGACGAGGGAGGTGGCTCCAGCAGCTAAAGCAATTGCTAAAACAGGGGCTGATTCAACTACGTATTAGTAAACAAGGAAGAACCGAGACCTATGGAGTGAAAAAAATGCCATGTCCCGTATGATTTTAGGCCCTCGAGCCCAACTAGGGCGAATGACATTCATGGAAGCAAGTGCACCGTACATCACTAAACAGCTCGTCCCCCCTCCTCTTCCCCATCGCACCTCCATCACCGTCACGATGACGTGGCCGGCAGCGGGCGCGTACCCCATGCGCACCACGGGCCCTCCAATGTCCATCTTAGCCAGCTGGCATCCCGTCAGTAGATCGTACTCTGGCCACACGGCGGAAGCATGAGCGACGGGGAGAGGGATGAGAAAGGGAGTGGAACGACAGACCGAACGAACGATAAACAAGGTGTATGAAGGAGGCATGACAGCTGGAGTGCTATGGTCAGGAATCGGAATTCTGGTGAATGGTTGAAATTCAGCGGAAGGGAATCTGTAACAGAAAGCCATTTTGGGACAAGGTTAGCCCCACTACCTATGATCGAACGTCCAACGGAAACGGACACCAGAGGTTGTGTTGGATGGAAGGCAGCGGCTTGCGCGTGTGCGCCCACTTCTAGATGCCGCAGCGTCCGCCACTCCATCGCGGCGATATTATCTCCGTCCCGGCCTTAATTTACCGTAGCTCTATTTTCGTTGTCCACTTAGAAGTTAAAGGTCGAGGGCTTGATAGCTAGGGATCAGTTGGTATCAGTACAGAAGCAATAAAACCAAGGATGATCGCGATTCCGTGGATAAGAGCTAGCGCTCAGCCAAAACTTGGACAAACAGGGGATCAATCTCTACGTCTCGCGGTAGATTCGCATCAGCCAAACCAGCCAGAACAACGTCCGCCATGGTGGACTTGGTGCATAGTACGGCGCGGTGTGATAAACAAACGAAATAGTTCTGGCACGAGATTTATTGCAAGGCTTCGTCCAGTCCTGCCAATACAGGCAGTCCGCGAGGCAATAGTGCACATACGATGGTTGCTGGCGACTACTAGCTCAACCGGGCCACTCCCCGACCACGACGCATCTGCCTCTGGTTGAATCAACTTCGGTTGCAATGCAAAGCAGGACAGCCTTGGTAAGTGAGCAGCTGGGCAGCCTGGATCAGGGGTGGGTGAGCCGCGAAAGCAAGGGTGCAGGCGATTTATAGGGGAATCGCTAATACTGTACATTTAGTGTATTTGTGCAAAATGGCACCTTTTTTTTAGCAACTTTACCTCAACGTGAATTAGCTCAGGAATCCAGTCATTTATATAATATTTTCGAAAATATATATGCATACATGTTGAGGTAGTCATTTATGATAACTGTATTTGTCTTAATCTTACCAAGAAAATCAAATATTGAAGTATCATTTAATATTTTCTAATTTGTTCTAGTTAAGCTCGAAATTTTTACACTATTAGAGTAATTATGATTAACAGAGTATGACATATAGTCAGTATGAAGTACAATACTGGTAGTTTGTGATGCGGGTGTATTTGTACCCCACCTCTACACCTTGCTTCTTTTCCTCCCTTTCAAGTCCCCTCCACAAAATCGATTTGCACCAAGTCGCGTTGGCCAATCCAGCATCACATTCCTCTCGCAACACCCATTCAGCTTTCACCAGCAAGCAGCCATTCGAAGTTTTTTACTTGTAGCTGCTTTACCTCATCATGCTTCAATGGACCGGGGGATTGCGGCGGAAGGTGAAGGAGGTAAAGAAGACCATCGTGATTTTTTGTTTCTTATCCGTATTCCCTTTAACCTGCTCGTTATCTGTGCAGAAAACTCGTCAGGTTCAGATTAAGAGGTAAATGTTACCATGGTAGCTTCGTTGGACTGCATGCCTCGCCATGCTAATCGTCCATTTCCGTTGCAGACAGCGACAGTTCTTTGAGCATCAGCGTCAGCAAACTTTTGAAGGAAGGCAACCACTTTCTCGTCCTCCTGAGATTCCAGCAAAGTCTCTCGACATCATCAGTCTGCAAGCACTTGCTTGTATTGGAAACTCTCCGCAAGAGTGTCCTGATTCTCCTCAAGGTAACTGTACAACATTTTAAAGGAGGTGTGTTTTGAATCTGTCCTTAAATGCTCTTATCAAACTTTGGCTTTGCTGGTTTGCCTTCCCTTTTCTCACCCTTTTTTAACAGGTCGAACAAACTGGTAAGCACGGAAGAAGACGCTTTTACTTGTATACAAGGTTCATTCTCAAACCATATTTTCCAGTGCGCGTCGTAGTGCTCGTGAAGACGATGAAGAGCCGAATCATAGGCCTTTCCAAGGAAAAAGGGTTGATTCGTCCAACATTTGTGAAAAACGCATTCAACCGGTGGCAACTCTTTCACGTCTGGAGCCTGCTCGGCCACGCGAAAGAAGACTGGATCACACTGAAATTTCTTTACCTGAGAAGCTTCGACAACGGCCAAAGGAAGGTCCGGATGAGTCACCACGCCCTTCTCGCGAGCACAGCCTCCTTCCAGGTTTGCTTCAAGTTCTATTCTGATTCCGTTAATGATGCTCGAACATTCTCTGAAACCAATGGCTTGTGTTGTGAAGGCGGTTTTTCCCTTGTGAAGCTCCTGGAAGCACAAGATAAGTCGAAAATCGGCCATGAGCTCCCATCAGAACCATATGTTTCATTCACGATGGATGGTGCCGGAGCGCTAGATGGGAGGACGCCTCCACAATCCCCACGGAACCATACATCACCAAGGTATTTATTTACGCAGTAGAAACAGGTTTCAGGTAGCTAGCTGCCTGCTGAACAACGCTGAACATGTGACCAGGCGGTTTTTTGGATTCAAGTCAACGCCAGTGGAGCTGAAGAATGACTTGGGACATGAGGAGGTAATTTTTGTTTACATAAAATATATTGTGTGTTGAGCTGCATTGACCTTGGTTTTCTTTGAGCAGGAAATTGTGTTCGATCACGCAACACAGCGCAACGAATGGGATCAATCCTTGCCTTCGCCAAAGTACAGAATGCTCGAAGAAAGAGGCAGGTTTCTTCTCATCGTTTTTTGTTCTTATGCCCTTGGATTCTTTTGTTGATTTTCACGTCTCTGCGCAGTGGAGTTTCCACTTGGAAATACGCAACATGATCTGGGAGAAAAGTGCTGTTTTCCATCTCCAGGGGACACACGAGCAACAGGGATGAACCACCGTTCCCCCAAGTCTCCATTTTTTGAGAACTTGAAAGCCAGCGTTCAACCTTATGGCGTAGAAGCACAGGAAAGCCCATGGAACGAGTCCCCAGTGATGGAGTCTTCCAAACCATGGGATAACTTGTCCCCTGTGGAAGTCCCGAAGCCGTCAAAGCAGTCACTCTTTCTGGACTCGCCAAAAGGTTGCAATGAATCAGCCAAACGATTGTATGGATGGATGGGTAATGACGAAGCAGACAAAAGGAGTCCAAGCAATCTACCTACGACAGTTCGTTCGGGGAGGAATTCTTTTCTGAAGTACGTTGGAGTGCATTCGCTAAGGTTGCGTCATCCAATGCATTCTTTTTGTTAACCCACTCGACGTTAACCTTTGTTCAGGTCTAGAGACGTTACAGGATGCTGGAAGGCACGCACGGAGGAGGATGCATTGGAATGGCTTCAAGATCTACAAGATGACACATTACAGAAAGGAGACCAACGAAGGTCTGTATGTTGCTCAACTTCGAGTTATTTCTTCTCTTTCTAAATTCCCTGATTGGACATCCAGCCCGCGTACTTTGGAGGCAAACTCGAGCACCAATGCACCACTATCGTGTTCTGGTACGGCTTTTTTTATCATACACTGTTTTCTCCCTTGAAAACACAATATATTGTAACCATGTGCAGTAATCTTTACAGGATACGACAATGACCGAAGCATCGTAGCAGAAGCTGAAAAGCTCCATCCGTTTCTTAATAAAGAAGATGATTTCCAGACTGTTGGCTCAACGTGCAACAGAGGTCACACGCAAGGACCGCTTGAAGATGATGACAATGGTGATGACTCATCTGAGCATTCGTCCAGCCCAAATGCATATAACAAACATATCAATGGCCAATGCGCCGTGGTCCCGTCACCAACCGCCAGTGAAGCCGCGGAGAATGGAGATTTGGGTGTGAAGGGACGGAACCTACAATTGGCGGCATCAAGGCTGGGTTTACAGTTACCACCACAACCAAGCATCTCAGTGTGCGAACCACCATCAGAATCGTGTGCCCTTCAGATTCAGCCCGTGCTGCCACTGCACTCTCGATTTCCTGGTAATCCGTGTAGCCAGGTGGAAGCCTCGCAGCCTCAATGGGTGTGTGCGATCGACACAAACATGCAACCCAAGTTCACAGTGCGGACCTCTTCTTCCAAGGCCACAGGAAGGATCCTGTGGACAGAACGAAATGAGAAAACGAAAACCCGCTTGGTACTACTTGCGTTGCACGATGAAGAATGAGTCGTGGATGTGTCCGAATCGTGCATCAAGATTGGTTGGCAGTGTAAAAGGCAGGCATTGTATGGATGGAGGGTGTCTTGTTTTGTTGTTTTCGGGGTCAAAATGTGGGTACTGATGAAATGGGGTTGAAGATTATTTCCAGGCCTGTAGTAATTCTCTGGCCGGTACACCAAACTGCCGTTGCTTTCACCCAACCGAAACCTAATTCACCCTCAATCCTGGGGTATTGATGAAAGTTCTTGTCTTTATATAGGCGAAGCGCATGGCAGATTTTTTTTGCCATTCTGTTTGCAAACCTCCTCTTTGCTTAGCATAAAGGAATCTGCAACACTACCCTCTAAATGGGAAACATTTATTGAAAATACTTGGTCTCAAGGGCTACGCTTGGATTGGATGCTCTTTATTGGTCGAATTAGGGGGATTGAAACAGGCAGGGGTTAAGTAAGGTGAACTGGAAATCCAATTCTGCGCCCCTCAAGCATGAAACTGATTTCAGTGAAACTATGGGGGACAACTAGGATTCCAAGCGTGAACTCCCATCGTGCTCAGGGCAGCAAAGCACACGCAGAGCAGCAGAACTTACCCACAGGAGAGCTCAATCTGTTAGGAGCTACACAGGATGGCCCATGTGAATCGAGCTGGGACATAGGGCAGGCAGACTACCGTACAGAACAGCATGCGGAAAAAGGCAAACAATGATCGAAGGAGAATCCCAGGGAAAGTAAGAGTACTGCATGGAAAGACGTGTGCGTTGATGTGATACGGGTTAGAGCGAGAGGTGAAGGACAGTTGGAGGGCGAGGAACGGGAAAGAGTTGGTGAGAAGAACAAGAAAAAAGAAGAAAGGGGAGGGGAGGGTAAGTCTAAAAACTGTTGAGGAAGAGGAGTGCGTTGGAGGGACAAGATGGGGAGGTTGGGAGCGGGAATTGTGGAACGGAGAGGGGAGAAAGGGAGAAAATGACGGACGAGGGAAGGAGGGAGGGAGGGAAAGAGGGAGGGAAAGAGGGGGGGAGGGAGGGAAAGAGGGAGGGAGGGAGGGAGGGAGGGAGGGAGGGAGGGAGGGAGGGAGGGAGGGAGGGAGGGAGGGAGGGAGGGAGGGAGGGAGGGAGGGGAGGGAGGGAGGGAGGGAGGGAGGGAGGGAGGGAGGGAGGGACGGATGGAGGGAGGGACGGACGGACGGACGGAGGGACGGAGGGGGGAAGGCAAGGAAAGAAGGGAGGGAAGGAGGGAACGAGGCAGGGAGGGAGGGAGAAAGGGTGGGAGAATTGGAGGACTGAAAACCTTTCTGTTATTATACAACAAGGTCACAAGCAGGTGTTTGGGCTTCATACTTCTGCACCACATTTCGACGGAACACTGACTAACTGGAACAGTGAGGAATGAGAGCACGAAGCACTTGTGGGTGTAACAGTAACTGGTTGCTGACAAACTCCACATCCAGCCACTGACCGAAGCACAGCCACCGGTTGAAGCACAAAACAGGAGAACGCCACTAGAGGCGACGGCAAAGCTGCACTGTACTAACGGGTCACGAGTGAAACGCGGCGGCATTAGTGGCGGAGGCAATGGAGGGAGAGGAGGAGGAGGAGGTGGTGGTGGTGGTGGTGGTGGCAGAACTAAAACAGGGAGACAGCATGCAAGGGCAAGCGCATGCAGAAGTAGTGATGCAGAGACAGTTGCAGCAGCAACCACTGACAGGCGGCACGCAAACGAGCACTGAGACACACACAAGTACACACAAAATCACAAAGCACACACCCACGAACAAACAAATGCACACACATAGAGAAGGAAGACAGGGAGGCAGACGGAGTGAGCAGAGTGGGAGAGAACGAGAGAAAGGGAGAGAAGGGCACTGGAGAGAGAGCAAGAAGACGAGAGAGACAGAAAAGGTGAGGGAGGGGGAAGAGAGAGCGAGGAACCATATACACAGCACATACGGTAATAACACATATTTGTACACAGATTTTGGCACAGGTGCAGGAGCTGGGAAGAGCTGAAAAATGAGCGATGAAAAAGGATAAGCGATAACGTGAAAGAAGAAAACTATGGTCGCCCTCCTACAAAAGCACGGCTCCTCACCTCATCACATTCCCCACCAGACCCCCTCCCCACCCCCCCTCCTCCCCCCCTTTTTTCCCCACCCCCAGACAGCAAACAGCATCGTCGGAAACAAGCCACCATGGTACCATGGCGCAGGGCAGCAGGCGAAGCACGGCAGCACGGCGGCGGTCAGTAGGGAGCGGAGGCGTGGCCGGGCGCAGAAGCCTGCTGGCCCTTCTTGACGGAGACCTTGAGGTGCCGCCCCCCACCAGGAACCCGTCCATCACCGCTATCGCTGCCTGCGCTGCCTCCGCTGCATCGTAGCTCACAAACCCTGGGGAGAGCGGTAGGGCGGGAGGCAGCAGGGGGGCGGAGCGGGGGGCCTTGGAAGTGAGAGTGCACAAGAGGGGACGAGGTGTGGGAATGGAAGTAGAGGAGAAGGATCACACTCTGCTTCAATGTGTGCAGGGCCGCCCTGTGCTGTGCTGTGCTGTGCGGTTCCATGCAGCCCTGTGCTGTGGTGCTGTGGTGCTGTGGTGCTGTGGTGCTGTGCAGTGCGCGCACCGAAGTTCTTGCTGAGGCCGGTGTTCTTGTCAATGAAGACACGTGCCGACAGCACGTTGCCAAACTCCACAAACGCCGTGGTGAGGTCGTGGTCACGCCACTCCGGAGGTATGTTGTACACAAATATGTTGGCTCCGGGGGGACCTGACACCCCACACACACTCACGCACACGCACACGCGCACGTGCGCGCGCGCGAGCACACACATACACACACACACGCTCAAACACACACACGTGTGCAGGACAGGCAGAGAGGGGTGCGGAGCAGAGGGCAATGGCACAGAGAAAACAAGGGAGCGGGTGACGTGGGTGGAGAGGGGGTGGAGAGGGGGTGGAGGGGGGGTGGAGAGGCAGGGGCATCGGGTAGGGAGCGAGGGGTAGTAGCATGGGAGGTGGGCGTTATGTAATGAATGGAAGGGAGGACGAGGTTGAGGGACGACGGGAGAGTGGCAAAGATTACAAGTGAGTGAGTGCAGGGCGGGCAGGGCAGCAGGCAGCACTGGCGCACCTTCCTTCTGAGCCAGGGCCTGCCTCACAGCAGCCGCCACGGCTGTCGCTGACGGCACCGCGCCCAGCTGATAGCCCCCCACTGGCCCCCCGCCTCCTCCTCCCCCTCCTCCTCCTCCTGCCATGCCCGCTGTTGCGCCGTCCGTGTGGTAGGATTGGGCGGCAGGCGGTGCCATGGCGTACATGTCGTGTGGCTGGGGTTGCGGCATGGCGGGTGCAGGCTGCTGGTACAGCGATGCCAAGTCCATGCCCCCGTACTGCTGCTGTTGTTGGGTTGTGGATGTGTGGAATCACACACAGACACATGCAGGGATGTGCAGTGCAGACACGATGGGATGCATGAAACGTGGCTGTGTAAATTAGATCAGACGAAGTGACTACGCAAGCAGGGCACGCGGTGAAGCTTAAGCAGGGCGAATGGGAGCAAAAGAGTGCAAGGGAGAGCAGGAAGGTAAATTAAAGTAGGAGACTGGAGGGAAAGAGTGCGAGGGAGAGCGGTTGAAACTTTGAAAGTGAAAGGCGCCAGGCTCTGAGAGTGAGTGAGCGTGTGACAGAGACTAGGAGAAACCCCACCTGCAGCTGCGGCTGCATGGGAGAGCCGTACAGAGACGGGGCAGAGGAGGGCGGCAGGAAGAAGGCAGCGCCAGGCGCGGACCCCATGAGGGGCGAGGAGTAGAGCCCGGGGGGCGACGGGCCCATGCCCAGTGCAGCGGCAGTGGCGGGTGCGGGCGCGGCCATGCGGTGCGCCTTGCGCGCCATCTTCTCCTTGTCCGTGTCCGCCCACCTCACTGCCATCGGTGCTCCGCCCTCCTGTGCTCGCACGGGAGGTGCGTGTGGAAGGGAATGGGGAAGGGGGGGAGATGACGAGAGGTTTACATAGAAGGCGAAGATGGTGGGTCGGGAAAGGGGGGGGAGAAGAAAATTGAAAGTTAGACGCAGGGAGATGAGCCCGTGGAGGAGAGACGAGAAGGAAAAAGCTATTGAGGAAGGGGGGGGGAGGGTGCGTGGGGCAGATTAATAGAGGCAGATGACGAGTGTGGAAGGGGGATGAGACGAGTTGGGAGAAGTAGAGGAAGTGACGGCGACACACGGTACATGAAATGAAAGAGCATGAGACCACTCGTACAAAGCACTCAATTCTCCAACACGTTCACCCCGAAATCCCCCCATCCTTCTCCGCCCTTCCCCTCCCAATCCTTCCCCTCTCCCCGCCACCCTGCCCTCCGTTCTCCTCCACTCCTGCCCCCTCCCGTTCCCATGTGCCCCCCACCCGTGTGACGTGTCTCCCCCCCCCTTGCACGTCACCTCGAGGCGGTGCTTGCCGTTGAGAGCGTCAATGGCGGCCTGTGCCTGCGCATACGACTGGAACTTCACAAACGCCGACCCTGTGCCGTGGGGGGCAGGGGGCCGGCAGAGCGGGGGACGCGGGGACAGAAAGGGGGAGGGGATGGCAGGTGGGGCGCAATGGAGAAAGAGGGAGGGTGAGGCGGTAGAGCACAGCGGGAAGGGAGAAGGAATGGAGCAGCAGCAGCAGGCAGCGGGGGCGGCAGCGGTGGCAGTGGCAGCGTGCGCACCTCGGGTGATGTGGGGAGCGGGCTTGAGCACGTTGATGTCAATGACCGTGCCATACTGTGAGAACACTGCCTTCAGCTGCTCCGCTGTCACCGCCCTGGGTAGCATGCCCACGAATAGCTTGTTCTCTGTGCGCATGCACACACACGCACGCACACACTCAAGCACACACGCACACTCGAGCGCATGCACATGCGCGGATAGGCACACACAGGGACACGCACACACACACACACGCCCACACACACATGAAGAATGCGCACCCATGCATGCACACATCCCGTCCATCCACACGCATGTACACGTGCGCCGCAGGGACAGGGCGAACAGGCCTGCGATTGAGGTGGCAGCCACGCCGACTGACAGAGAGAGACAGAGAGCAGGAAATGGAGGGCGCCACGGCTCCGTGCACGGATTGGCATGGCAATACGAAAGGGCGGATTGGCGTTAGGGCGCAGACACGGGGGGCGAGGGCGAGGGCGAGGGCGAGCGCGAGCGCGAGCGCGCACCTATTTTGTGCTCCTGGCCGTCGGCGTACTTCACTTGCATCGCCGTCTTCGCCTGCCCGTACCACCGCCGCGCACCACCGCCGCGCACCCGCAACCAGTGCCGCCATGACGGGAGAGGCAGGGCGAGGAGCGGCGTGCGCATGCGGTGGGAAGATTGGGGAGATGGGTAGTGGGCGCGAGGGGGTCGGGGGCGGGTGGGGAGATTGGGAGTGGGGAGGACAGGGGAGGGGGGAGGAGAGAGGAGGGGGTGACGGGAATTGTATGTGCGCGGGAGGCGGGAAGCGGTACTTCTCTCATCTGTCGCATAACCATATGCCATGCGCCCTCTGCAACTTTCCCGCAGCGCCGCCACTCCACCCCGGCAGCTCGCATCCCCGGCCCATAACCCCTTTCCCCCTTCCCCCGTGCGCGCCGCACTCACCCCCGGCAGCTTGCGGTTGTTGTGGAACAGCGCGATGGCAGCGTCCGCCTCCGCGCGCGTCGAGTACAGGACGAACGCGCACCCTGCGATGGGACGACCGCGGGATGGGAAGAAACGGGGGGGAGAAGGTACGGGGAGGACGTGGGGGACAGGGGGGGAAACGGAGGTGGGTTGTGCAGGACGGACGAAGGGCGGGACGAGAAACAGCATAGCGCGCGGATTGGTTCGGGTACGCAAAAGAACAGACGATCGCGATTCGCTGAAACCCTAGCGACGAACACGGCAGATGCGGAGACGGAACGCGATGACTCCCCGGGTTCGGATCTGCGAACCGCGCGACCCGCGGCAGCACGACTAACCGCGCGACTCCTTGGTGACGCGATCCTTGACGATAGTGACGTCACAGACCGTGCCCGCCTCGGCGAGCACTTGCGTGAGGTCGTCGGCGGTGAAGGTCTTGGGCACCTGCCCCACGAACAGCTTCAACGCGTCCTCCGCTGCCGCCGCCATGCCGCGCCGCTGCCGCTGCTGCTGCGCCTGCGGCTTCTGGTGGTGGTGGCGCTGCTGGTAGCTAGCGGTACGTGTAACGGCGCAGCGGACTGGGATGGCGATTGGAGGAGCGGGCGTACGAGGAGTAGGGTCGGACGAGCAGCAGCAGGATCGCTGGTAACAAGGGGGCTGGATACTGATGCGCTTGGCTCACACGATGCTTGAACATACCAGGTTTGGGTGCGGGAAAATGAATGTTGAGGCAGCAGTGTTTCATGGACGTCGACCATCACACCCTAGGTCTGGGAATAGACGAGGGTTGTGCAAGAGTACCGTACCAGATCCGCGATTTGTAACATTCTGAACTACCTGGAAGGAAATTCACTAACAGTACTTGATTTGCTTATAGGCGCAGCGGTAGTATAATACTAACTTAGTTTGTAAACACCACCTCAGCCCAACTGCATACCCAGCATTACATACCGGTAATGCGACAAATCTGGGTATTTTTACTGCAGAGGAAATGTAAAGGTGCTTGGGCCAAGGGCTAAGGTGACTGCATAAAACAGGTGGTATTTCCCAACCAACACTATCACAACATTTGGTTACTGTACGGCCTGGACGAGGAATGACAATTCTTTGAACCACGAGAGACTGGAGTGCAGCACAGCACTGATGGCCAGGGACAAGGCTCATAGTTGAGAGAACGCTATCATGCACACATGGTGTAACACAGCAATCACCAGCCTTATCCTCAGAAATCTCACTATCACCCTTTTGAGCGCAAGAGCACAGCAGCATGAGCAGCATCTACTCCTCATCGCCCTTGTTGAATGCCTCGAGGCGCTGCACCAGGTTGGCCTTCCTCTGCTCGTACGTCAGCTTCTTCATCTTCCAGCTGCTCCCACCCACACATAAGAGAATTAAGACAACACCCACCACCAAACAGTAAGAACCTTGCACAAGTACAACTACCACAAGCGAAACGAAACCAGCAAGAAACAAATGATGAACAGCAGCTTCAAACCCAAAAGCCACATGGGAGCAGGCACAGGAGCATGCAAGGGAGGCAGGGCAGCATACCTGCGCTTCTCAGCAGGTGGCTTCTTCTCGGTGAGCTTGGCGGCGGGGTCGGCACGGATGGCAGCGTGCACGGCCTTGTACATCTCTTCCAGCCCACTCGCGTCCACTCCCTCCGCCAGGAACTTGGCGAAGTGCGACTGGTACTTCTCCGGCTCCTCCTCCTCCAGCATCTGCCACCGCACACCACCACCCACGCACATTCACACACACGACACGACGTGGCAAAACCAGGGTCAAGCCACGTGCCTTTCTTGCAAACGAGGTACTTTGCTACTGACAGGACAGCAGGTAAGAATTCTAGACTTCAGAATGAACCACCACCATCACAACCACCACCACCACCGGCACCATCATCAGAAGCAGCAGCAGCAGCGGCAGCAGCGGCGGCGGCAGCAGCAGCAGCAGCGGCAGCAGGCGGGGCACGGACCTCCATGTACTCGCCGACGTGTCCGCCGAAGATGTACTTGCGGTGCACCTCCGCGTCCAGGCTGGCGGACCCGCCCTTGCCGTCGTTCATGAACCCGGGGAAGCGCTTGTCGCTGTGCGGGATCTCCATGCCGCCGTCGCACGCTCCCTGGTGCCACCACGCGGTTTCCAAGTGGGACGGGAGCGAGCGCACGAGAGGGTGATACGGGGGGAGAATGAGGGCCAGGGCGTGCGGTGGGGAAGAATGGGAGGGAGAGCGGGGACTGAGGTGAGGACATGCAAGCATGCACGACTCGTGTGGTATGTCACAAGCACGACGGACACACCGTCTCTCATTTCTACGTTCCAGAAAATAAGAACAAAATTAAAACGGTGAGGGAGATGGGGATACAGCAGGGAGGAGGTAGAGACCTTGAGGGCGCCGAAGACGCGGTTGCCCGTGGTGGTGCGCACGAGGCCCACGTCCAGCAGCGCCTTGAAGGGGGCACGGCCCTCGCCCTGCTCCACGTTGTAGTCCTCGCCCGTCACCTGCCACGCACGCACGCCACGCACACACACGCACGCACGCACGCACGCACACGCCCATGCAATTGATTTTTAAACAGGGAGGAGGCACCAGCGCGGTCGAGGCGATACCTAAACCACGCACGTGAGAGCTGGTACCAATGCCAACAAGAACGGTGCACAGCAGTCCCTTACTACACAAGAGCGCACCGACTTGGGAGAAACGGCCCCTTAAAAAAAGAAAAAGAGCTCCAACTGATCAACACCCACCTGGTCCACCCATCCCCCACCGCTCAACCTCGCCCCAGGTCATTCCCTAATTCCCCTCTCCTCTTTCCCCCCTTTCCCCCCCCACTTCCCCCCCTTCGCCCTCTTTCCCCCCTTTCCCCCCCATCTCCCCCCACACGGGAGGAGCCAGCAATGATGCGCGGAGGGCGTGCAAGAGCGCGCGAGCGTACCTCGGTGTTGCCCTCGTAGTCCTTGTCCATGCCGAACTTCTGCAGCATCCTGCGCGCGCACAGCAGCCCCGTGCAGTACGCTGCCCGCGCACGACGGACGGGAGGCGCGAGGTTGATGGGTGGGAGAGGGGAGACGAGATGAGAGAGCGAGAGATCAGGGATCAAGACAAAGGAAGTGCAACGAAAGGCAAGGAAACAAACGAAAACCAAATTAAGTTACGGAAGTGTGGCAGGGAGGCGGAGAGAGGAAAACGGGTTGACGAGGTAAGAAGGGGGCTGGTGAATGAGGCGGTACCAGCGGCGTAGTTGGTGAGGCCGGCCTTGAGACCGTAGCGGGGCAGCTCGTGCGCGTAGGCGGCGCACACGACGACGTCTCCCGCCATGGTGGCATAGGTGACCTGCGTGATGATGTCCTTGCGCGTCTGCTCCCCGCGCACGCACAAACATACGCAGGCACGAGATACCACGCCACACCGCACACCACCATACCACGCCACTCCACACCACTCCACACAACGCCACCCCACACAACGCCATGCCACTCCACACATAGAACCATGTAATAAATCACGGCGTGCACACCACGCAATCATGTCCACGTGAGACAAGGGGCGAGCAGGGAAGGCAAAAAAGGAAGCGAAATTGTGAGGGGAGAAGTGGGGATCGTTGCGCAGCGGACACTTCAACAAGAATTCAAGAAGGACACGACCATTACATCATCACAGCATGTCTCCGCGTTAAGTCCAATTCTTGATCGCAACGTGAACATGCGTGGATCAAAGTCCGTCAACAGTACATTTCTTTGACGGCATGAGTGAAAAGAAACATTGACTTACGAAGCGGACAACGAAGCGGTACTTGGGGGTGTTGTACTTGTTCTTGTCCTGGGTCACCAGGCGCAGGCGCGCGCGGTAGTCAGTCTTTCCCGCTGCGCACACAGCGGCCAGGGAAGTTAACAAGGACACAGACCAGAACATCAACGCAGTTAACTACGGGAACAATATACAGATTACGTTTGCCCTCTCGTAAAAGGAGGCCTAAAGGAACAAAAACGCCCATCCCGCAACACCCTGCGCTAGCGACATAATAAAGCACCCAAAACCGTTGCCGTGCGGTGAGGCATCTGCTCAAGCCCTCGACGGAGACATTCGAAGCCAAACCCTAACTCGTCCCGCTAGCTCCACAACGGCCACCCTAAGCCTCTTAATACACGGCGTTAAACACCCGCCGCCCAGAACTACATCGACTCGTAGTGCCCACTACCGTGTTAATAAATTAAGCTGACTACGAATCCAGCGCGGCACAATCGCAACTCCGCAGCTGTCATATGCTCCAACAACTCTTATTTATAGGATAAGCCGTCGGCGATCCTAAGGGAAGTATGTAAAGTCAGGGGAACGACTCGGCACAGGGGAGAGGGGGTGGGACAGGAAGAGCGCGTGAGAGGCAGCTGTCTGACCTCTCCTTCTGCGGTATTTGACTTGGTATCTCTTGAAGTAGGCCTTGGTCTTCGTCGCCTTTGCTATCGCCTGCAAAAGAAGGCGACGGGGGAGGGTTGGAGAGGGGGAGGATGGAAGTGGGGCACTCCGTATCGAATTTCGTCGACGGCTTCACGAGATCTGCGGGTCAAAGCCGACGGATTACTTGAGGAACGAACGGAAAAGCAGTGCAAACGTGCGCGGCACTACGCGAAGCATCACCTCCTTAGCTAGCTAGCAACGACTACCAGGCTGGGCTAAGGCGCCATTACCATTGTAGCGGAAGGCTAAGGACCGCCAATCCCTAGGAGGAAGAAGGGAGCGAAAGAGAGCTGAGGGTGTGGTGGTGAAGGGATTTTGATCCTGGGCGTGGGTGTCTGCTCCTCCGTCCTTGTCCTCTGCTACTTGGCGCTTCTAGCTTGCGCCCCCGGAGTCCCGACAGTTCGAGGGAGCGGAGGGGAAAGAGGGGCGCGTGTGGGGGAACCTTGTGAGGGATGTTGATGCACAAGGCACGCAGGATGTGGGGAAGAATTTCAGGGATGCGTGGTTCCGATGTGGGTAGCCACATCAATAACTCAAATCAGTGTAGCAAGCCCGAATTTCTTGAACGGAATCCCTTAGATAGAATATAAAGATTCAACATCTATTCTTTGCTTTGCAAGCAATCTTTAATTCCACATCACAAAACAATACCATTAAAACGAATATTTTCACTATTTTTATGGCGGAAACATGACCTAAACAAGACTATGTATTCAATCATACACAACGACCATAGATATTATTTTAAATTCTCTAATAAACCACATTTGTTTCTCATGCCATTATCAGGTTGTGCTACGAGTGCAATGGAACGAGATACGAGGATAGCACTAGGTTTTTGAACAAGTACAAAGCATGAGCAGAGGTATGACCGAATACTTATACGCGAATACATGCAAATGTTCAAGCGATGCGTGCAAACAAGCTAGTGCTAGGCTGCCATCGAGGTTCGGGCTAGTCCCAAAGCGTAGCCCGACTCAGCCGGGCCAGCGATGCAGGGTTTGGTGAAACATTCGCGCGAAGTTGGCGAACAACAGCTGCTGCTGTATGCGATTTTGAAAGAACGCGGTAATTAATGTCGAAAAAATCCCTTCTGCTACCCCCTTCCCTTCCATTAATGATCTTGGCTTTTTTATTGCATATGCTGCTCATGCTCGGGCAGGTTGCAAAACCTTGCCAAACTATTGTGCACGTGGCGTTGGGTTGTACGGACATGATGTCATGGGGACTGCTGCGTTGTTGCCGACATTGCGTTGTTGTAGGCGAATTCGATCAGTGGCAGCTACCGCTCCCGTATTGTCGGATCGTCGCACGTGGCACGAATCAACTTCCCAATAGTCGTGTTCGTTCGCTCTGTCTCGGAGTGGCACGACAAGCTGAACAGTAGCCTGGTCCCAAACTTCTCCCAAGGTTCTTCCAGAAGTTGCTGATAAACTTCGTGTCGCGGTCGCTGATTATCCCGGGTGGTACCCCGTGCGGTCGAACGAGAGTTGCGATGAACAGGTGAGCGTTTTCTTCGGCCGAGATCGATTTCCTACACGCAACGAAGTGAGCCATTTTCTTCCGTATGTCAACGATGAATATAGCCTCATTGTTACCCCCAGGGCTCGAAAGTAACCCTATGACGAAATTCATTGTAACCTGCTATTAGGCACGCTCGGGGGAATCGGCTCTAATTGACCCGCCTTTCTTTTTTTGCGAGCTCTTCATCACCTGACACATAGGACATAACCCCATGTTGTGCTGTACGTCGGTCAACAGCTCCGGCGGGTAGTAATACCGCTGAAGTTGCTGTCGCGTCTTTTCTACCTCGAAGTGATCCGAGGTATGTCAGAATTCCAGTCACTAACCATTGGGATAAAATGGCTTGTTTGTGTAGCGGATGAGTGCGCCCATAACCCCCCAGGCCAACGTGCCTGTAACCCTTCCCTAGGATCAATCGGGGATCACAAGTGGACCTCTGACACCCCCTCGCACTGGGATGCCCGAGGTGCACACACCGGGAATCGAACCCGAGACCTTCGCTCTGATACCATGTCAGAATAACTGAGTCACTAACCACTGGGATAAAAGGGCTTGTTTATATAGCGGGTGAGTGCGCCCATAACCCCCCAGGCCGACGTGCCTGTAACCCTTCCCTAGGATCATCGGGGATCCCCAGTGGACCTCTGACACCCCCCCGCACTGGGATGCCCGAGGTGCACACACCGGGAATCGAACTCGCGACCTTCGCTCTGATACCATGTCAGAATTCCAGCCACTAACCACTGGAATAAAAGGGCTTGTTTGTGTAGCGAGTGAGTGCGCCCATAACCCCCCAGGCCAACGTGCCTGTAACCCTTCCCTAGGATCAATCGGGGATCACCAGTGGACCTCTGACACGCCCCCGCACTAGGATGCCCGAGGTGCACACACCGGGAATCGAACCCGAGACCTTCGCTCTGATACCATGTCAGAATCCTAGTCACTAACCATTTGGATAAAATGGCTTGTTTATGTAGCGGGTGAGTGCGCCCATAACCCCCCAGGCCAACGTGCCTGTAACCCTTCCCTAGGATCAATCGGGGATCACCAGTGGACCTCTGACAAGGTAACCCCGTCGTGTGCCTCCTGCAGTAGCAATTCCCTTAGCAGTGAGTACGCTGGTACCCAGATGCGATTAGTAGCGGCTTTAAAGTAGTACACCCCCTTTGCTTTTGTTAGTTGCTGTGAATTTCCGGTCGTGCAAAATGAGTCGGCGCGATATTCGTGGGCGAATAGCCTGTTACAGTGGGTTGGTTTGGGCGAGTAGGATGGCATGAAGTAGGACAATGGGGTGAGTAAGTGCGTCAGCAATGTTCAACAGTCCCTTTTTGTACGTGACGATGTAGTAGAAGTTGGATTCCATAATATCCAACTAGCGAATCTGTCGCGGATTGAGGTTCGGTTGGGCGCGAAGATACTTTGAACGCGTGCATGATCGCTAGCATCTCGCGGTCGTTTATCGGATAGTTACATTCGGGCGGGTGAAGCTTGCGAGACTTGTACTCAATAGGCTGGAGGCCATTCTCGAAGTCCTGCAGCAGTACTGCTCCCACGGCGATGTCGCTTGCGTCGATGGCCAATTAGGGTACATTCCTGTGTCGAAATTTATGTCTCAATCCGTCGCGTCGAAAAATTTTGGCAATCTCGCGTCACAAAAAATCAATGTACCACGAAACTGGGCGACCATGCGAAATGCATAGTTGGGCTCATTTGATCGAGCGGAAAAAAATATTCTACACCTGTTTCTTCAATCTCGCGGCTGGGGTGTGGTTTCGACGCGCGGGATTCTTTCCCGCGCGAAATTGGCATTTCGGGAAGACCAGGTACATTGACATTTCGAACCGCATGCGATTTTACAAAAATGATGCGTCGGTTTTCAATTCGCCCGCGACGTCAGCTAGAAAGCGACTCGCGATTGAGACATTGTACGTTCTATGTCGTTTTTACGCGTCACAAACGCTTTGAGACACAAATGTCGACACAGGAATGTACCCTTAGATCAAGCGGTGTGGGTCGACAATGTGCAGTACAGGTGGCGAGCACAAAATTTTCTTGAGGACCGAAAAGGCAGCTTGCTCTTTCTCCCCACTCGTGTACTCAACCCCCTTCCTCATCAGATCTGTCAGCGGGGCGGTCAGCTTTGCCATGACAGGGACGAACCGGCGCACTTAGTTGACGAACTCCAAAAGCTCTGCGCTCGGTTAGATTTGTCGGTGCTTGCCATCCTTGAATCATCGCGATCTTCTTCGGGTCTATTTCCACCCTGTCGGCTGAAATAACATGCGCTAAAAACTCTAGTCCGTCCTATAAAAACTCACACTTAGGGGTTTTGGTCAGTAAGCGGTTCTCTTTCAGGATTTTTAAAACTTCTTTGATAGGTGTTGTGTTCTGTCTGGGCTGTAAATCAGTATATTGTCCAGGCAGATGACTACGCACTTTTCTAAAAGCGTGCGGAAAGCATCGTTCATGGTCATTTGGATAGTCGCGGAACTTTGGTTAGTCCAAAGGGCATTAGCGTGTATTCGAATGATCCGTAGCAGGTTCAAAAGGCTGTTTTTGGGCAGCCGCGTGGGTTGACGGGGATCTGATGGTAACCTCCTCGAAGGTTGATTTTCGAGAAAACCCGAGCTGTGCGAAGTTGGTCGATCAGTTTGTCGGCTCGCGGGATAGGGTAAAGAGATTTGATGATAACTTGGTTCAGTGTGCGGTAGTCTATGCACATACGAAAGTACCCGTCTTTCTTCGGTCTGAAGAGTATCGGTGCCGTGAAAGGTGACGAGCTCGGCCGAATGAACCGTTTTTTAGCATGTAATAAAACTGTTTCCGCAGTTCGTCTAGTTCGGGTTGGGTCAGTCGAAATTGTTGCTGTACTGTCAGCTGTTCCCTCGATTCGAATTCTATCCTATGGTTGTGCAGTCACTGAGGTGGCAGTCCCTTCGGTAGGTCGTGAAGGAAAATCTCGCTATATTGCTTCAGTAGCGCTGCCAGGTCACCCGGTACGTCAACGAGCATGCTTTGCTTCTCTTGACTGGTCTTGTGACCCCTTGCTCTCCCCACTTTGCCTATGGGGGTGTGTCAAATGATATATATGTGTGATATATATGTGTAGGCAGTAGTGGGGTAGCCAATTGTTAGAATCTAGCAGCAGACATGAATGAACTAGCAGGAAGATGGGTACAAGTAGGAAACCCTACAGCAAACGCCCCAGCCACATGACGAAGACGAAGCTGACCTCGCTGCTGCAACTCTCGAGCCAGAAAGTAACGCAGAGCAATGTGCTTCGTTCTGTGCTCCAGTCTGTGCTCCTCACACAAGGCAATGGCCGCCTTGTTGTCAACGTACAGCACTGGAGGAGAACGAGGCCGCTCACCCAAGTCAGTCAGCAGGTAGGTGAGCTAGCGTAACTCCTGAGCAGCCATGGCGGTGGCGTAGATCTCAGCCTCACAACTGGAGCTGAGAACAGAAGACGAGCGTGTAGACCGCCAAGAAACAGAGCCAGAGCCAAGACTGAAGGTGTAACCCTGTGACGACCGCTGTGTAGTCTGGTCGTCAACCCAAGACGCGTCTGAGTGCCCAGTGAGCACCACCTCACTCCGTCCTCCAAGCACTAGCCCCATGCCTGATGTACTGCACAAATAGCGCAGTACCCTCTTAGCAGCAGCCATGTGCTCAGGTCGGTGCCGACCAGGAGCCACGTAGCGAGCCAGGA